TCTGTCCAATTTTCCCAGCACCATTTATTGAAGAGACTGTCTTGACTCCATTGTATGCTCTTGCCTCCTTTGTCAAATATTAATTGATTATAATGGCTTGAGTCTATTTCTGGGTTCTCTGTTCTGTTCCATTGGTCTATATGTCTGTTCTTGTGCCAGTACCAGGCAGTTTTGAGAACCGTGGCTTTGTAGGATAGCTTGATATCTGGGATTGTGATCCCTCCAACTTTGTTCTTCTTTCTCAGGATTGCTGTGGCTATTTGGGGTCTTTTTTGCAGAGTATTTTCTTTTGAAAAACACATCTTTGTCAGAAAGAGTTGTAAAAGTTCAGTGTTCTAGGAGGATTTGACTAGAAGGGGCCCAGGGGTTTGAAAGAGAATTGCTATTGCCAAGCGCTCACTCTGGGCAGCGTCTTCACTTTGTTAAAACACAGCAAAATGGGACACCCCCCAAATTACCCTTGATTTGTTTTCTCCTTTGCATTTTATTTCTTAACTCCTCTTTATTTTCTTGTCATTTCAGAGAGTCTTGGAAAATGATGAAAATGTAGAAGAAGGAAATGAAGAAGAGGATTTAGAAGAGGATATTCCCAAGCGAAAGAACAGGACCAGAGGACGGGTAAGCTGGGATGCCAGGAGGGATGAGAGAAATCAGGGAGGCGAGGTCCCACTGCAACTAGGGAGGGAGGGAGGGAGGGAGGGAGGGAGAGGGGGAGAGAGAGAGAGAGAGAGAGAGAGAGAGAGAGAGAGAGAGAGAGAACATCCATGGTCTTCTTGCAGAATTCCCGGAGTGGAAAACACCAGAGGGCTCTGATCCTGGGTGATAGCCTGCAAGAGTTTAGGGCTGGCAAGAGGGAGAAAAGGCAGAGGGTGCCCCGAGGGGAGGGGGATGCTGAGGCTTAGGGGAGGTTGGGGGTGGGAACAGAGGGAGGGTGGAGAACAAGGAAAATGTGATAGTTGTCCCTGTTTCTTGGCCATGAAAGAAGGCTGAAAGTTTCCTGCACCCCCCCCCCCCCTTCCCCGGTTGGGGCTGCCCCAGAATGACAGGGTCAGGACACCTGCTTTGGGGTGTGTTTCATTAGGCAGAAAGTAGGCCCACAGCTGGTGGTTCCCAAGCAGGTATGGCCTGGGCTTTGGAGGCTGGTGGGATGTGGCAAAAAGAAAAAAAAAAAAAAAAAAAAGCACCAGAAACCTGGAGAAAGGCAGAGGGGAATTCTGTGGTGGAAGGAATAAAAATATGAGAATGGCTCTTAAGGGGAGGGAACCAAACCAAACTCAGGTATTCAGGTTGGTCCTCCACAGTGCTCATGTTCAAGCCCTAAGGGGCCTTTTGTGGTCATCTTCATGGGTCTGCAAGGGCATCTGACAGTAACCAGGTGCAGAGGACCTCTGGGGGTAAACCGCTGCTCTTCATCTAGAGAATGTACTCTTAGTCCTGTCTGGCTCCTTCAGGCTGCAGGCAGGACCCTATGTTTTTCATGGACAAGAGGCTAGTCCTGGGTGCTCCGTGGGTTTTGATCTAGTGCAAATTATGGGCATACCTCTCTATGTGGTTCCTGTGCCTTAGTATACAGCAGACCCACCAACAAAGCCTTTCAGAATGTAGGTCCCCAGTACCCAACCCCAGAAGTTCTGCTTTGGGAGGTCTGAGATGGGGCCTGGAAAGCTGTATCATAATGATAGGTCACTGGTACAAGTGCTCCAGCTGTGCCCACACTGAGCTGAATCGCTCCAACCTGTTGACAGAAGCCGGACTTTCCGAGTCTGGGGAGGGCAGCCCTTTGATGCTGCATACCTTATAGAGTTGGCATCCCGCTTCAGCTATGATCACCTTTTGACACTCTTGTTATATCTGTTCTTTTCTTTCACTTTTTCTTGGTTTGCATGTTTTATTTTATTTAAAAAAAATATTCGAGGATATTTTTTCCCCATTGCTTTTTAGAGAGAGGAGAAGGGAGGGGAGGGGAGGAGGGCGAGAGAGAAAGGGAGAAACATCAATGTGAGAGAGACATTGAACTGGCAATCCAGGTATGTGCCCCTGACTGGGAATCAGACCCTCAACCCTTTGGTCTGTGGGCCGATGCTGTAACCACTGAGCACACTGGCCAGGGCTAGCATGTTCTTTTTTTATGTGTGAAATATTTGAAAGCAATTCCTAGACATTTTATCATTTAACCTGCATATACCTCAGTGTATATCTCTAACATATCACTATCATACCCAATAAAAAGAACAACTATTCTAATATCTACTATCAAGTCTCTGATGACTTTTCTCTGCTATACCCTCCCACACACATGTGTTTTTTTCTCCATGCCATTTATTTGTTGAAGAAGTTGGGTGGTTGATCTTGAGGAATTTCTCACATTCTAGAGTTGGCAGACTGATACTATTTAAAGTATTCCTCTGTCCTCTTTATTTCCTGAAAACTGGTGGTTTGATTAGAGAGTTGGTTAGATTCAGGATATTTATGTGTATAGATATTTTTTTTGGTGGGGCAAGAATCTTTCCCAGGTGTGATGTATGCATCTTATTGCATCACATCCGGAGGCGCATGTTGTCTAGGTGTTCTGCTTCTGGTGGTGCTAAGATTGATAGGTGGATTTGGGTGTTGTCAGCCTGATCTCTTTTTATAAGCTCTCCATTGAGTTTTCAACTAATTGTTTTAGCAGCCACTGATGAACTTGCCTCGACCCATGAGTTCATTGGAGGTTGCAAAATAATGAATATCTGATTCTATCATTGAAGGAGGCTTTAGAACGTAGAATTTCTGGGCTTTTTGTGAGCTTCAAGAGCTGTGTGTCACCTCCAAGCCTGCTTCCTTCCCTTCCCTCAGCCCAAACCAAACTCAGGCGAGTCGATTGTGGAAGGAGAATGGTCTTCACATCTTCTCCATTCCCAACCTAAACATCAATGATTGAACTCACAGTCATTGAATATGAGTAGGGGGTTTTGGTAGGAACATTAGCAGTAGCAGCAGCAGCAGCCATTTTTACTTACTGTACTTACTGTATACCAGACACTGTGATGGGCTAGTTACAGTACGAGCTGACATATGGGGAGTGATGACCGAGCACTTCAAACTTCATCTCCTGCACTGGCCACTGTGGCTGTGAGCACGTACAATGTTGCTGGTTCAAACTGAAATGTGCTGCAAGTGTAAAATACACACCAGATTTCGAAGACATAGTACGAAAAGAATGCAGAACATCTTCATATTTTTTATTGATTCCATATTGAAATGATAATATGTTGGCTATGTTAGGTTAAGTAAAATGTGTTACTAAAATTAATTGCACCTATTTATCTTTTTACTTAAAAAAAAGTAAGATGTGTCTACTGGAAAACTTAAGATGATATGTATGGCTTGCATTGTATTTCTATTGGCCAGCACTGCTTCTTCCATTCCCATAAGTCAGGGGTGGGCAAACTTTTTGACTCGAGGGCCACAATGGGTTCTTAAACTGGACCGGAGGGCCGGAACAAAAGCATGGATGGAGTGTTTGTGTGAACTAATATAAATTCAAAGTAAACATCATTACATAAAAGGGTACGGTCTTTTTTTAATTTTTTTATTTTTATTCATTTCAAATGGGCCGGATCCGGCCCGCGGGCCGTAGTTTGCCCACGGCTGCCATAAGTTGATATTATTATTTCCAGAGAGGTTAAGTAACTTGCTCAAGGTCATCCAACCTAGTAAGGAAGAAGTCAGGATTTGAACATACTCTGTGGTTTTTCCACTGGGTCATGTGTGGCCCAGTCCCTAGCATGTGGCCAGTGACCATTTTTTTGAATGAATGATTGAATGATGGGAAAAGAAAGAACAGTCATATTTCAGCTTGTGGGAGCTGAGAGAAGGTCTGGGGCTGGATGGGGCCTAGACCAGCACCGGGACCACCTTATGATGGCCAAGGGGCAGTTGAATGGCTCTACATTGTGCAGTGACATTGTGGACCTGTCACCCATGGTGGGAGGACCCTGATGAGTGTAGGCGGGCCTATCTGGGCTGGAATAAGTGTATGAAGCTGCTCAATTAAGTCATCCTTTACAGTGTTGTGTTTAAGCTGCTGTTGGCTCCTGGAGAACAGTCGCACCCATTTCTGTTGCCAGGACTGAAAGGCAGCTTAAGGCCATGCATCTCAGCATCAGTATTACCTGGGAGACTGTGAGAAATGCAGGACCCCACACTTCACCCTAGATGGGCTGGATGAGAGTCTGTCCTTTACTGAGACCCCGGGTGCTTTGTGTGCTCATTGAGGAAGCCAGGCCTAAGGTAGTGTTTACAAGAACAGCCTCTGTCTTGTTTGAACCACGAGTTCAAATCCCAGCCCCACCACTTACTAGACTTTGGGTGAATTATGTAACCTCTGTGACCATGACCAAATTATATATGTACTCTTGAGTTTCAGTTTCTTCATCATTAAAATACACAGCCGATTTTGAGTGCTTAATAAAAGGCTAGATATTATTAGGAGGGTACAAGCAAAGGGAGCACAACGCTCAGAGTTCTGACAATGGAGATTCCCTGAAGGGTGAATGAAATTTGGACCCAACAATTAACGATTGTGTTCGTGGTAACTTTACTCCAAGAAATCTAAGCTCTTTAAAATTCATAAAATTCTTGGGAATCATCCATGTTATCAATAAGTAGATCAGTCAATCAGTAAGTATTTATTGATGCATTGTGGTATAGTTCAGTGCTTCTCAAACTTTAATGTGCATACGAAGCATGTGGTGATCTTACTAAGCTGCAAATTATGATGCAGTTGGTCTTGGAGGTGGGGACTCAGATCTTGCCTGGTCTACAAGCTCCGGGCTGATGATGTCAGTGCTGCTGGTCTGAGGACCACACTTTAAATAGCCATGAGATAGAGCAGTGGTTCTCAATTTTTTTTGGGGGGGTGTCTCAGGAGCTCTTTACTTGAAAATAACTGAGGGACCCCCCAAAAGCTATTGTTATGATAGGTTATAACTAGTGCTACTTATCAAAACAGAAAAAGTGTTAAATGTAAGTATTCACAAGCACACAGTGATGACCTCATCATGTCCTGTGGCCTCTAAAACTCCACTGTGCGCTTGTGAGGGAATGAGAGTGAAAAATTTCAAAGACGTTTAGTACTATTACAAAATATTTTTGACATTGAAGACCCCCTGAAAGAGTCTCAGGGATCCCCAGGATTTCTTGAGATACTATTTGAAAACAACTGGTATAGAGGAACTAGCTCTCTGAGTCTGTCCCAGTCAAGGGCCTTTAACTTGTAAGACATTTAACAGCTTAAGCAAAAATGGGAAGTATTTGAAAAGCCGCTGGGATATTGCTCCAACTTTGAGCAATGAAGATTGAAACCTCAGGAAGGGCAAGAGAGTGGCAGGGATTCGGGACTGGGAAAGAGTAAAGCACTCTGGAAGCTTCTGGCCTCTACTTCTTCATTCTTCTCTCGCACAACTGCCTTTTCTGTCTCTCCATGCACATGACCGCCATGGCTCCTGCACTGATAGGTCCCTAGGTCAGCTGTCTGTACTAACCAACTGTTTCCCAATTCCAAGTTCTTTGGAACTAGAATCTGCTCTGGTCAGATGTCCACTCCTGAGCCAGCCAATCAGCTGTGGCCAGACAGAGCAGCGCCATGTGGTGCAGTCATGGCTGCCATGGCCTACCGGTGTGTGAATGAGAAATGGAGTGGAGTGGGGTGGGCACGTCTCAGAGAGGGAGAACTGGTTTCTTTTGGGTAATCAGCTTCAAAGTTTTCTATAGCAGAGTCTGGAAACCTTGGTCCTGTTTCTTCTACTGGCTCTCAGACTAAGGACAAGTTGTGAACCCTCCCTGGACCTGTTTTATCAAGTGCCAAATGGGAATAATAGTATTTGCTCTAATTCGTAGGTTATTGTAGGAATTAAATGAAGTAGTATATGTGAAAGCGCTTCAGATGCCATAGTGCTAAGTGTTGGGGATGCATAATAAAGTATGAAATGCATCTTTGCTCTCAAGGATGTTGGAATTAAATTGAGGAGAAAATAGCAACAGCCATGATACAATTAGAAAGCACAGGCTTTTGACTGTGCACTAACCAAATGCAGTGAGAGTTCAGAGGAAAGAGAGAGATCAACTTGGGCAGCGAGGGGAAATAATTTGTTGAGCACTTCCTGTAGACGTAGCACTATCCTCTGTGGTTTCACACACCCTTAGTTCTTTTTCAGCAACCCTGCAGTAGAGATGTTGCTATGCCCATTTTACAGTTAAGAAAGGTAAAGCTTAGAGAAGTAACTTGTCCAAAGACACATGGCTGGTATTTAAACCTGTGTCTGACATTAAAGCTGATGTTGTTTTTACTCATCAATGTGGCAAGAAGAATATTCTTGTAGGAGTAGAATGTTAGCAGGGCTAAAGCATGGATCAGATGGGGATGGGGAGAGAGGCAGGTCCAAGACAGGCATCATTAAAAATAAAGGCGTGAGCTTGAGGTGAACCTAGGGGCATTGGCATTAAGTCACCATTGGATGTCAGTGGGTTTTAGATGGCAATGAATGAATGGCCATGGGTTCCTGTCCTTCACTCCCTTTTTAAAAAAAATGTTTTTATTGATTTCAGAGAGAAGAAGGGAGAGGGAAAGAGGGATAGAAATATCAATTATGAGAGAGATCACTGATCTGCTGCCTCCTGCATGACCCCTACTGGCTATTGAGCCTCAAAGCCAGACATGTGCCCTGATAGGGAATTGAACTGTGACCTCCTGGTTCATGGATCGATGCTCAACCACTGAGCAACACTGGCCAGGCCCTTCACTCCTTTTGTCTAATTGGTCTAGGAGTCATACAGGATGGATTGGGTAGGGCAATGCAGAGGTAGAACCCCAGCTTGTGGGTTCTTTGAGCAGTGTGGAGGTCAGTTGATGAGCTCCTGGATTAAATGTGGACTAGATGGGAAATGCAAAGCCTAAGATGACCTTTGAAGGAAGGAACAATAGCACATAGATATAGAGGATAAAAGAGAAGAACCAAAGATGATGGACATACTGATCCACCCACGGATTGATTGATTCATTTCTTCAGCAAGTGTTTATTAAGTGCTTCTTGAATGACTGGCCCCATGCCAGGTTCCAAGGACAGTTGTGGCCAAAATAGACATGTGCTCCACCCTCATATGGGGGTGACAAGAAAATCAAGTACACCAACACGTGTGTGATAGGATGTCAGACAATGTTAAATGTGGGATAAAACAGAAAGCAAGATGGGGAAAGAGAACGATGGAGAGGGTACGAGTGAACAGAAGTTGATCAGGGAGCCCAGCTGGCATAGCTCAGTGGTTGAGCATCGACCTATGAACCAGGGGGTCATAGTTCGATTTCCGGTCAGGACACATGCGTGGGTTATGGGCTCGATCCCCAATGTGTGTGTGCAGGAGGCAGCCAATCCATGATTCTCTCATTATTGATGTTTCTATTTCTCTCTCAAATCAATAAAAATATATTAAAAAATAAGTTGATCAGGGAGGGCTTCTTTGAGGAGGTGGCATTTGAATAAGATAAGTAGGATTCTGAGTTTCCAAGCTTGAGCTATTCTGGGAGACTAGAGAGCTACTGCCAGGAAGAATCCCTGGCATGTACCCTCAGTGTTCTATAGCTATGACCCCCCCCCCTTTTTGCATTTGAGGAAACTGAGGTGCAGGGAGAGTGTGGGAACCTGTAGTCACCTGGCTGGTCAGCCCTGAAGAGTGAAATGAAACCCTGGCTCTCAGCCGGGCCCTCCCCTTCCCCTCTGAGCCTCCAGTTCCGCAAAGCGCCTCCTGTACCTGCCGGTATTTTTAGTCCCTAAGCGCCCCTTCCTTGGGACTGCTGCTGCCTCGTCATTCTGCCTGACTTGCTTTCACCTACTCCCAGGCGTCTGTGACGGCTGCGGGCTGCACACGTCAAGTTGTCCCTGGCTTCACCGAGGGTGTGTGTGTGGGGGTGGGGGGTGGGGTGGGGGTGGGCAAGGGCAGCTGAGGGTAACCACCCTCCGTGTCATGGGCAGGCTGGGAAGCCTGTCAGTGCCTCAGGGTGACTGCCAGTGCACCTCACAGCTCCCTCTTTGGGTCAATTGAGTAATGAGGGCGAGGGGAGGGGGTTGCTGGCTGTCATGTGTATAGGGGTGAGGGGCTGGGAGGCAAAGGGAGGGAAAGAGCAGTGGAAGGGAGGGAGGAGGGGGGTGGGATTTTGTAATTTGCTTGCCAGGGGGTGTTGATTGTGAAGTGTGTGTGTGTGTGTGTGGTTAGGAGAGAGAGAGAGAGAGAGAAAGAGAGAGAGAGAGAGAGATGGAGTGGGGGGGAGAAAGAGAGTGAGCATGCATACACAAGCAACCATCTCAGGCCTTTTGACCCTGAAGTCCTCAGGGCTACTTTTCCGGGCCAGGCCCCTGGGACTGCCCCATCTTCCCTGCATTCCAGGTTGCTGCCATTTTACGTCTCATCTGCTGTGTCTTTCTCTCCGTCCCCAAAGACCCGGCAGGCCCTTTCCTGGTTGGGAGTTTACTGCTACTCATTACCAGAGAATGACCCTGAGGAGGCTAGGGTGCTACACACGTGACCAGTGTGGGACTTTTCAAGTTTTAAAAATAAACCTTGCTGCATTCTTGCAGCTACTGTCCCGGGGCCGCAGAGCTGCTCCCTAGCCGGTCTCTTCTTGCCTCGAGGTCGAGCTCATCCCGCCCCTGCCCAGGCTATGCCGACTCTTTCTGGAGGTGCACACGGGTGCTGGTATCAGCGGTCCAGCTTCAGGAGGCCATGAGCAGCCAAGGTTTCTGTCACTGGCCGGAGGCTCACGGCAGACCACACAGGGAGGCCTCAGCTGAAGCCCGCCCCTCTGGAGTTGGCTGAGCCGGGCTCATGCCCTGTGCCCTGATGCCAGGCCTGGCTGGCTCTTGAGAGACCTGAGTGGGGGAGTGTGAACAAAGGGGCTTGGCCTGATAACGGTAATTATGCTACTTGCTCCAACACGCCCATCATCTGGCCAGCTGAGGGGAGCCAGTTGGCATCTCCATTTGGTAGCAACAGAGCTGCAAGGCTAAGGAGTTGGAGGAAGAGGTCCTACTAGCAACAGGAGAGTAAGGACACTTGGTCAGTAGAGGCTTTGCAGCGGGACTGTCCTGAGTTAATGTCCTGGCTCTGCACTTAGTAGCTGAGTGGCCTTACACAAGCTGCCTACCCTCTCCAGTTGCCTCAGTCTCCTGATCTGTTAAGTGGAGCCCATAGTAGTGTCTCCCTCTGGGATTTGTGAGTAGCTGAGCGATTTGGGGTAAGTTAGCTCACTTCTCTGGGTCTTAGTCTCCTGGCCTGTGAAAGGGGGTTGGCATGGGCACAAATGTGGTGAAAGGGAACGAGGAGCTGCAGGTGAAGCACTCGGGACCTCACAGTACATGCTCAGGGCCTGTGGTGATGACCAGAATAACAAGCATCATGATATCCCATGTCTCCCCAGGCCCGTGGCTCTGCTGGTGGCAGGAGGAGGCATGACCCCGCCTCTCAGGAAGACCACGACAAACCTTACGTCTGTGACAGTAAGTACAGGCGACACCGCCTTCATTCTCCTGCCCCTGCCCTTACCCCTGTCCCCACCATTCCTGTGCTTCCCTGCCTGTCAGCCCCCAGCCCAGGCTTGCTGGCTCCTCCTCTGGGGCCTGCGCTCCAGCTCCCATGCCTGCAGCTCCCCTCAGTCACCACCTCCTCTCTGCCCTCATGTTTCTGCCTGAGGAGAGCAAGTGGGAGGCCTTGGGTGCTGTGCTCCTCTCTCTGGCGTACCCTTCCCTTCTTTGTAGCTTTTCTCTGTCTCTTTCACTCTGTCTCCTTCAGATCCCTATTTCATTCTCTACTTCAGAGAATTACAAACAAAAGCATAACTCAGAATCCTCCAACAAAAGTACTTGGTTTTAAATTTATCTTGGTTTGTCATTTGTTTCCCTTTAATTTCCCTTTTCTCTTCCTCCTGTCCTACATAGGGCAAGTTATGACTCTTTCTCTGATGATCACTTAGTTAATAAATGGCCCTTGATCCATCTCCAGCCTTTCTTGCCTGATTCAGAAATATCTTTTGGACAAGCGGCTGCTGGCTCCTGGGTGTGGGGTCTGCAGGCAGAGCTGGGGCGAGAGAGTGCCGGGGGCAGTGGTGGTGGGTGGACCAGGGACTGGTGTCCGAGGTAGAGGCTTTGCTGTCAGCTGGAGGGCTTTTGTCTTTCTCACCTGCCAGAGCATTGGATGGTGGGTTTAAAATCCCTGCCCTAGTTATCTTCTCACTGTATCGAGCACCATCTGCTCACTCCATGGCAAGGGCAGCACTCAAAGCCGCATTCCCTGACCATCTTCCCTTCCATCTCTCCTCTCTCTGAGGATGCCGAGCTCTGCCACAGGGTGCTGCGGTAAGAATAGCAGCCAAGTGGCTGAGGCAGGGTCCTGGTGCAGCGGTCCCTCCCGGCGTCCCGCCCATCTCGCCAGCGTTTGCAGTCTCTGTGAGAGCAGGGGGAGAACTGGGAAGATGGGGCTTAGCGGGTACTTTGGAGGTGGTGCCATTTCCCTCCTTCTTCGCTGGACTCTTGATTTCAAGAAGTTGTTCTGTGGCCAGTGAGGTGACAGCTGGTTGGAGAATATTTTGCTAGAAGACCAACCCCATGACCCTTACTCGGCCCCTCCTTCTTCGCTGGACTCTTGATTTCAAGAAGTTTTTCTGTGGCCAGTGAGGTGACAGCTGGTTGGAGAACATTTTGCTAGAAGACCAACTCCATGACCCTTACTCGGCTTAGTTTTTTTAAAATTTATCTTTATTGTTGAAAGTATTACAGATGCCCCCCGCTCCACCTCAGGTCTGCCCACCCCACCCCCAGGCCTGCACCGCACTATGGTCTGTGTCCATGGGTTACACATATATGCACTAGTTTATAAGTTCTTCGGTTAATCCACTTGGCTTCTTAACACACCGTGCAGATGACATTTGTGACACAACTGCAGGTAACATCTCTATCCCAAAGCAACTCCATTTTAGGATGAGGGGAGAGCAGGGCCTGGGGCCTGATCCTTCTTGCCATACCAGGAGGTGCCTGCTTTGGCCTGGGTCTTACCTCCTAAATGGGGTTTATCAAAGCCCTAGCTGGCCCTGGGGAGGTCCTCAGGCCCCCCCAGAACGGGCTTTCCGACGGTGCCAGCAAGTTGCCAACAAGAGTGCCAGCAGCTGCTTTGGAACTGGGGCTTTGCCTTGTGCTTCCTCTTTTAAAAACTTTATTTTTATTACGTGATTTTTGTGCTGCCATAGATAGTGGAATTACTTTTTGCTCGATCACTACACCTTTCATCGGGTTCTCAGCCAATGATAGGCCCATATATTCCCAGACACACCATGTGTCCTTCACCTACTCTCAGCCCCTCTCCTCACTCCTTTGTCATCTGCCTCCACAAAGCGCCCTCGTGGTGTCCCTCTCTTGCCCGGCCCTCTCTCTGAACAAAGTGCTTGCATCACACCCTCTCCCCCAGCTCCGGTGGCTTTGTGTAGGGCTCTCAGTGCCATTTGCTTTTGCTGTTCCCTCCCCACCGGGTCTTTTCCTCCTTCTGTTTATGCTGTGGAACTTGGAGGCCTGATTACAGGCCTGATGTGGGCTTTCTGGAAGTCTCCCTGTCGGACTTCTTGGCTCTGCCTGCACAGGCACTGCCTCCCTTTCCTCTGTCAGGGGAGTAAGGTCCACCCTGGATTGCCCTTCTCTTTCTGGGTCTCTTAGGAAATTGTGTGGCAGCTCAGTGATTAATAGACTTTATTTTTATCTGGTGCCCTTCAGACATGTGATCCTTTGGGATAGGAATGACCTTTGGAGAGGTCATGAGGCCCACTCTGCACCCCAGTACTCAGCAAGGAATGCTTTTAATAATCTCTAATGCATCCTAAGTAGAGAGGTGTCTGGTCACCTCCTTGAATTCCCCAGGGATGGTGTTACCATAAGCTGACCTTTCTTCCATGCTTCTAATAGCGCTTGGAATGATTGTTTCTCCTTAATAGGAACTGAAACAAATGTTTCTCTTCTATAGGCTCCCTTATCTTTTGTGCATCTTTCCCCATCAAACAGGTACACTGAGCATTTTGTTCTGGAGGCGCTCCTAACCTCTCCTTGTGTTCTCAGTTTACCTGGGGTCCGTCCCATCACCTCTGCGACAGCCTGCTCTCAATTCCCTTCCTTCTAGCACTCCCAGGGGAAGTAGCGCCAAGGCTGTTTGGCTGAAAGAGTAACAGACACGTTTCCTTGTTTATTTTACACATCACTTCTTAACGCCACCCACATCCGTAGAGTGTAGAAATATCTGACCGCCCCATTGCACTGTGTGCCCGTGACTCCCACACGGTCAGAAGTAGCGAATGCCTCTCTGTGTTGCGCTCTTTTCTACTTATGCGTTTGATCATTTCTTTGTCCATAAATCACTTTGCATTTGGCCCTATTGAGTCTCAGTAAAGACATATAATAATATGTGACTTCAATATATAGGATTCAATAAAGGCAATTTTAAAGACATTGCCCAATAGTTAAATTTTATTCTCCACAGATTCCTGATTGCTGCCATTTTTGCATCATCTGTGGTTTGATTTGCATAATCCCCACTCCATCTTTCAAGTTATTTTTGAAAATATTAGGCCACCTTGGACCCCACCACCTCCTTCCGGGTTTATGTGGAGTAGCAATAGCCATTTTTTCAGATGTGATTGTATTTAACCCTTCCTGGGTTATATTTCTAAATATAGTTGTCCTGTTATGTTCTTGGCCCAAGCTTCCCTTTCAAGATAGGTGGTTGAAATATTAGCTTAGCCGTTAACTTCAGGTGATAGATAGTTTGCCTATTGCCTTTCACTCAGCCATTGAATTTATTTCATCTCAGAGAAACATTAAATCATCTAAACATAATTTATTTTTTACCCAACCCATGGTGTGTGTGTAGATGAATACTTCATTTTCCAGCAAGTAACCAGTCTCTATTAATTATCCGGAGCATTTACCGAGCTTAAAGATTAAAGTTCCACTTCTTCCCTTTCAGTCTCGTGCTGAAGGAGAAGTGTTCATTACCCACAAGCAAAGCCACTGAATAGAACTTTGTGGGAAAGGTGGTCATGTTTGTCAAAGTGTGGATTTGGACCATCAGCCCAGAGATAACCTAGATGTTTATTATAACGTAGATTCCCAGGCCTCACACCAGACCACTTGCATCAGAACCCCTGGGAGCAGGCTCAGGACCCTGCATCTTTTGAGGGCCTCTGAGGGGGAACTTAGGAATACTGACTATTCAGAATGACTGGTCTATTTCATCCGCATTCGGAGGTTTCTGGCCGACTGCTCAGCCCTTTTTTATTCCCCGCTTTTTGCATCTGGAAGTTCTGTAGTCTCCAGGAATTCTCCAGGCAGAGTGCCACTGGCTTGCATCACTGTTTTAGTTGGTCTCTTTAGAATCTTTCCAATTCGTTCAGCATTGATATAAAACTCAGCAGTCCCATATCTAACTCAGCAATCCAGCACTTGACATTAATTAACTTAATAGCTTTAAATCCTAATAGTATCATTAGCCCCCTTTTATATGTGGTATGATAACTGGAGATAGACATACAAAAGGAATCCTCGGGTTTGGGCTACTGGGATGTTTTAAAAAAATCATTTTGAGAGTTTGCCTCTTCTCTTCCTAACGTGCCTGACCTTGCATTTTTTGTTAGCATCACTGGGGCAGACTCCTGATGAGAGACTTGAGTTTCCATTTTCTTTGTTCAAGGTGCATCATAAGAAAGAAGGTGGTAGTAATGGGATGAGATTCAGGGAGAGGAAGAACATTTTGTCGCTAAGCCTTAGCCATTTGGGGGGGAGCAAAACAGACATTTTCCCTTTTGCTGGGCACAGTGGGAATGGTTTGTGAAGTTCCCCCCCCTTAAAAATTAATGTTAATATGGAACATTTAACATTTAAATGTTTAATTTAAAGAACATTTAACACAAGACTTACCCTTTTAACAAATTTCTGAGTGTACAGTATGTATTGTTGACTACAGGTGCAGTGTTGGATAGCAGATCTCTAGAGCGTATTCATCTTGCTTGATGCAAACTTGATGCCCGTTCCACTCTTTATTGCTATGAATTTTTTAAAAATATATTTTATTGATTTTTTACAGAGAGGAAGGGAGAGGGATAGAGAGTTAGAAACATCGATGAGAGAGAAACATCAATGAGCTGCCTCCTGCACACTCCCTACTGGGGATGTGCCCTCAACCAAGGTATATGTCATTGACCGGAATCGAACCTGGGACCCTTGAGTCCGCAGGCTGACGCTCTATCCACTGAGCCAAACCGGTTAGGGCTATTGCTATGAATTTGACTTTTTAAGATACTTCATCACTGTGGAACCAGGCAGTATTAGTTTTTTCTGTGATTGGATAGTTCCCTTAGTACCATGTTCTCAAGGTTCATCCATGTTGTCACATATTGAAGAATTTCCCCTTTTTAAAGGACAAATAGAGTTCCATTGTATGTACATCCCTCATTTTCTTTCTTTTT